GTTTCAGATTAGTTTTAAAGTCAAGGTGAGAAGTAATAGATATGGCCTCACCAAATCATCTTAAGTTTTCTATTTTTCGGGTCAGGTAGCCGTCCTTGTCGGGTTTTTGACCTGAGACCTCTCTCTTATCTGGAACACTGCAAGGTATCATCCTCAGACGTGCAAATTCTGGGAAGTGAAATGGTTAAAAGACTGCCATAGATTGAAAACCCATCCCACATGAGAATCCTTGAACCCTGTTTTGTTGTTGTGTGTTTGCAGGGATAATGCAGAGGATCCACTTGATGATACAGGAACAGTTCAACAGCAGCTGGACCAGGTAACATGGCTGTTTTTCAGTAAACTACAGGGAAAATGTGGGAGACGTGGTTGCCTAATGCTGAGCGTGTTGGACTCAGGATTGAGCGGTCTGGGTTCGAGCCCTGGCCAGGGTCATTGTGTTGTGTTATTGGGCAAGACACTTTACTCTCACAGTGCCTCTCTCTACCCAGGAGTACAAATGGCTACCAGTGGACTGTTAGGACAACCTAATAAAATGCTGAGGGTAAACCTGGTGTTGAACTAGCATCCCACCCAGGGGGAGTAGCAATACTCCTAGTCGGCTTCATGCTACAGAAACTGGGATAAGCTCCAGCAGTTTAAGCCAGTTTGGCCCCAAACGGCTTTACCTTATACCTCACAGGGAAAATGCTTATTTCATGTTGTGACAGGACAAACATTGCGTTCTGTTTCAATTTAGCCCTTTATTTGACCACATTTGCGCTATTTCAGCAAACCAAAATTTGATTACCGTTATTGTATTAATTTCTTCACAGCTTTCTACATTTGGACGATGTGAATACGAAAAGACATGTCAACTGTTAATTTCACTATTTGACCAAGCAGCACAGAGATATCAGGAGCTCGTACAAAACACGTCTGCTTCTACCACAGACATGACTATTCAGGAAGGTACCATTATCATACATTGTAGAAATGATGCAATACTTGTACTTGCAGAACTGCAGAAAGCTTACAGTGAAGATGATGCTACCGTTGCCACTCAACAAAGTTTTTGATTAATTTTTGAGATCTTTTTAACAACTTTTTGACGACTTTCGGATGGGTTCCGTTTGACTTGACCAATCAAAATCCAAGGAGTGTTGGAGGAGGAGTCAAGAAAATTTGAATGGTTCTAGTCTAGTTCAAATGTGGCACCACTGAAACGGAACCCATCAAAGTTGTCAAAAAGATGTCAAAAAGTAATAAAAAACTTTGTCGAGTGGCAACGGTAGCATCAACTTCACTGTAATAGCAATAACAGTTTCATAAAAATCTCACTATAATTCAATTCTCAAGGTGTCCACACAAAGGGTGGTACTCTTGTCTTATTATAACTACTTTTGCAACCAGCAGTATTATTATCAAAATAAACCCCTCCACAGTTTTTGAAGCCGCACCATAAGTGTATGGGACTTAAAACTTCTGTAACTTCACCCAACACCATCAGATTTTGACATGAAGATGTTGTTGCTGTTGTAGGAAGGTGGCTGTTATAGAGAGGTGACCATTATAGAGAGGTGGCCATTATAGAGAGGTGGCCGTTATAGAGAGGTGGCCGTTATAGAGAGGTGCATGGTCACTATAGAGAGGTGGCCATTATAGAGAGGTGGCCATTATAGAGAGGTGGCCGTTATAGAGAGGTGCATGGTCACTATAGAGAGGTGGCCATTATAGAGAGGTGGCCATTATAGAGAGGTGGCCATTATAGAGAGGTGGCCATTATAGAGAGGTGCATGGTCACTATAGAGAGGTGGCTCTCTCGGGTGGCTGTCGTTATAATAATATTATAGATAGATTCATTAGTGGAGGTATATCTGTAATCCTTAGTTATCATCACATATCTTCTTGTTCTGCAGGTCGGCTAACATGGCTTGTGTTCATTATTGGTTCAGTCATTGGTGGACGAGTGTCCTACTCAACAGTAGATGAGTATGACGCCTTGGATGGTGAACTTGTCTGTAGGTGAGCGCTCGGGCTAATGAACGTTTGGTTGCCTATTGCATTACATGTCACATCCACTAGCAACTATAGGCTTGGGCGCATGTTTTTTTTTAAAGCCAATCAGGAGTGAAACCAAAACAAATTGTGACTTTACTTACATGTGCTTTTCCCAGCTTGGCACCGGTTGCATGTTTTTTTTTTGCTTTAAGTTCTGATTGTTTAGATCGGAAGATGAGTACGACTTTTCAAACCCAGAGTGTATGGTTTACATCAACACGTCTAACACCAATCTTATTCCTAGAGCCTCCTTCTCTACTGGTCAGTAACAGGGAGGAGCGAGGGCTCTGGGAACGTGACTGATTTGAAATTAGAAGTCGTACTCGTAGTCAATCTCGTACTCGTACTCCGATCTAAAGGTCGCTATTGTATTATTCAGTTGAGTATGTGTATGTGTGGTTACTGGCCAAATGAATTATGATAACTTTGGTTTTGGTTTCATGGCAGTAATTAGAAATGCATCAATGTGTACTTTAATCCAACAAGAAAGAAGCGAGGCACTCTATACGTCTTTTAAATGCAGGTTATTTTTTTGCCCGCAGGGTTCTGCAACTGATGAATCTAACAGACTCTCAACTCTCTCAGCGAGGAAGCGAGAAGTTGGAGCTCGCTATTCTGAGTTTCTTTGAACAGTTCAGGAAGATGTACGTCGGAGATCAGGCACAGAAAACATCCAAGGTGAAAATAACAACCAGTTAGAAAAGCTGTTGCTTTTTTGTCATTTTAAAACCGATGAAGGCCAAAGAAGGCCAAAGATTTTTGGTCGAGTCTTTAATATCAAGATTTAGTATTATAAATGTTGTATATAATATAGAGGATAATGCATGGCTGCATGTAGAGGAAAATGGTTTATGGACAGTGTTAATTAAAGTCATTGGCAATAGATAAGCTTGGGAACTGGAGCAATGATCTAAAATGATCAAGGCTCAAGCAATATACCTTTCTCCAAAATGGCCGCCGCAAATTCATATTAAGCTGGTGGAAAATCAATACCAGCACCTGAAAGATCACCTCTTGTTTGGTAATCGTACAAAGTTTCATTAGGTTAGGTTCTACCTGAGTCGAGAGAAAATGTATGTATGTATGACTGGGGGTATGGCGTATACCCCCAGTCATACAAACGTCTCTAAATTTTCCAGTTTTCAACTTCCGTTTTCTCGACTCAGGTAGAACCTAACTTAATGAAACTTTGTACGATTACCAAACAAGAGGTGATCTTTCAGGTGCTGGTATTGATTTTCCACTCAGTTTAATTTTAATCATTTTGAATTTGCGGCGGCCATTTTGAAGAAAGGTCTATTGACCCGCAAAGATCAGCAATACGAAGGCCAAAAACCCAAACACATGAGATACCTTGTCTAATCACATAATTATCGTCATAAAATATTTGCTGATCTTTTTCTTTTCTCAACAAACAGGTTTATAGAAGACTTTCTGAGAGACTTGGGCTTCACGATGAATCAAATGTTTTGAGCGTCTTCATGGGAAAAATGTAAGCAAGGCCTATCATGCTGTCCTTTGAATTAAGAATGAGAGTCATGCTGCAGGCAGCGTGGCCGACTGGTTACTTCAGGTTACTGCATAAGTTTTAAAGGCAAGATGTCGATGAGGAATTGCAATGGGTCAACAGTTATGGGCCTCACCAAATCCTGACAGAAGTCTTTCATTAATTTGTCTGGTCAGGTAGCCAACCTCGTCGGGTTTTTGACCTGAGACCTCTCTCTTATCTGGAACACTGGGTTAGCACACTGGTCATGTAATCTGGAGGCTCTCATCCTGGATTTGTTCTTGGTAGTCCCAAGGTCAACTCCTTGGCCACGCCATGTAGTCTACTGGTTAGCTTTGTGGCAGTTGGGATTTTTAACTACAGTACATGTGTGCTGTGTTTATTTGAAATATGTTTCTTATGCACAGCCCCACAAGCTGTAAGCTTTAAATTCAAACTACATATTTAAATAAAGTTGCTTTTATCTTTCCTTTTTACCTTTTTTCCTTTTACCACTTCATAATCGAGGGAGAAATGAACTGCTTCAACCACCTACTTCACAATTTTGTAATATACTATAAAATGTATCATTCCCATTAGTTAGCAACATTCACAGATCTGTTTTTTCTTATTTACAGAATCACCAACATGAAGTTTTGGGCAGCAGCGAGGCCATCATCTCCAAAACCTTACATCTTCTGAGTGATCTGTCTGTTGGATATCCTTTTCACTGTTGTTTTGTCATGGTTTGGAAAGTTCTCGTAAAAATAGACAGGCATACCTTTGTGCCACTACACAATTCTGACTTCAAAAGAACATCTTGATTCACTGAAGCAATAATCCATCTCAATCTTCCCCATCCTTGACCATCCTCGTTCCTTTTTGGTTTCTTATTACATCTTTGATGTTTCACTAACTTGGTAAACTATTCTTCTGAGGTTTCCTTCAATTTGATTGTACATCGCATTGTTTGTGACATAGCTCCTTTAAAATAGTCCTTAGTACAAAGACGTCTTTTGAGAAACGCAACTTTTTTCTATTTGGTATTTGTCTGGTTCTCACTGCAGCTACTACTTTCAAGGTTGTTCCTTAACGTAGCGTAACTATAGTAGTGCTCGTAAGCTCGTCAAGTTGGAGGCAGTACAGTTTGTACTCAACAATCATACGGTATGTTTTACATGATATCGGTTGTACATCTTATTTTTAGTTCATTTAAAGTCTGTTCCAATCGAAGGGAGTGGAGGAGCTAGGTGGCTCATCATTGCCGGTGCTTAACTCCCGTTTCTGTAACTATGAAGCCGAATAGAAGTATCGCTACTCCTCCTTTATGGCATGCTAGTCCATCGCAGGTAAACCCCACCTCCCCCCCCAGAATTTTTGTCAGATTGTCCTGAAAATTCACCAGTACCCATTTGTACTCCTGGGTGGCGAGAGGCACTGTGAGAGTAGTGTCTTGTCCAAGAACACAACACAATGACCCCGGCCAGGGCTCGAACCTGGACTGTTTGATTCAGAGTTCAGCTCGCTAACCATTAGGCCACCACGTCACCCACTTAGTTCCTTTAGATTTGGAATAATTTTACAGTAAGGATTTTACAAGTAAGGATTGAGGATACATGTGTCAGGAGACATTGTGTTACTAAGTAAATTCAGTGAATTCATTTTAATATAATTGATCTTGTGCACATTTGTTGTTGTTCTTTTGTCAGAGTGAACACTTTCCATTCCTTGGGACGCACACTACTCGAGCTTACAAAGACATGCGCAGTAGAACCACATTTTACATTGCCTTGGGCAGACTGCTGATGGTTGACTTGGGCGAGGATGACGAGAAGTTTGAATCATTCATGGCTCCGATTACAAGTAAGTTCTCTTTCTGTTGTTACAGTGCAACAGTCAGGGGGTAAAGTGCAATTTTTGTTGGCGTAAAAATACTTGGAGTTTCCAGGTCTTACCACTGAGGTAAGTTGCTTACTTTTCCTTATTATTGTAAGAAACAGTTATATTTTGTGGGACACCCAAGTGGTGCGTGTGTGTTGCGCTTTGCGCTCACCTCACACTCTACTAATAATTTAGCAAAACCAATGGTGAGATCTAAACTAAACTGGATGGAACTAAATTGGTTGTGATCAGGCATTTTTTTTAAATTTTGTTTTATTTTACCCCATATGTACATGTAATTAGCGGAATGGCATCCATCCTATGTTGTGGTGTTGCTAACTCTTTTTTGTTTGTTTGTTTTTTGTATTTTTAGGCACCATGGATTCAGTAGCGAGTCAGTTGGTTGCTGTCGGCAATAATGCTTTCCAACAAGAGGAAACTAAGGTATCCCTATTTTTGCAAACTTCTCTGTGCAGTGTGCACTAGGCATTATGAGATATCTCTGTACCTCAACAGTTTGTCTCTGGGTTTTACTTATCTCAGTATTGCTTTGAAGAAACTTTGTTTTTAAAAACGTCAAGACAATATTTCCATGGTTATCATTTGCTTAAAACGTTTGTGAGCCCATGAAAATGCAATCAGGCAAGTAACAGTATGGCTCGTCACACAATTCGTTCCGTGGGCAGGAAATATTGCGTGACGACCAAAGGAGGTCTCTACGTTGGAGGCTTGTGAAAATTGATTAACGTTAATTAAGATTTAAGAAGCCAATCACATTGAATGTTGTTTGTGTTCCTTCTGCAGCGTACCCTTGTTGGTCTGTGTCGTGATATCCGCGGACTCGCCTTTGCTTTCAATAGTAAATCCAGTTATATGATGCTGTTTGACTGGATGTATCCTTTACACAGTCTTTGTAACAAATCAGATGTCTAACAATGCGTACAATAGTTAAGCTAGATGTGGGGAATATTATTGAGCGGGCTGTTAGATTTGAGGTCTCTTTGATGCTTCACTAAGGCACTAAAACCAATGCCATTCAAGGGTCGTTTGGGCTAATTCACGGGGTAGTGGGGAGGGAAATTTAGCCATATCAGTTGTCAAACTTACACGTAAATACTAATTAACAATTAGATTATGAGCTCGAGATTTCTATGATGTGATAGTTGATGAGGCCAGGCCGAATCAATTATCACATCATAGAAATTGAGAGCGAATAATCTAATTGTTTTAGTAAAAATCATAACAATTGTCTAGTAATAACTCTAATCCTCCTCTGAAACTTCTGAGAAATGAGAAGAAACTGCAATTTTGTAGACGACCTCCAGCCACTGCACACTAATGGCTGATAGTATACAAGTAGCTCAGCCAATCAGATTGTCTCATTTGAAATTAGTATACTAGTAGATTTTTACTAATGTAATTTAGGGGTCACTCAGACTAGTGGAAAACTCGTTATTCCGATTTATATGGAAATAGATATTCAATGGGCATTCCATTAGTGCAAGTTGGATGATCGTCAGCGAGTCGCGCAGCATTAATGTTGGTCATAATGATCCCATTCCAAAAGTATCTTTGTTGTGATTAATTAGAGAACAATGCACAAGTCTTATGAATCAGTTAAGGAGCTGAACAAACCTCAAACCATACTAACACCCCAGTAATGTACTGTATGTAGCACCTCTAATGAGTTGAACAGTTGAGTCTTAACTCGCACAAGTTATCCCACGTACACGTCAGTCCTCCTGCGGGCGGACAGAATGGTGGTACCATGATCCTAACGTGTCCACACCAGTTTTAAAACTCTTGGGTGAACTGGTTCAGAACCGATCGCAAAGACTACACTTTGATGTCTCGTCGCCTAATGGAATCCTTCTCTTCAGAGTCACCAGTGAAATGATTGTAGCTTACGGTATGAATGTTGGATTTTAAACCCATCAAAGCTGATTTGATGCATCCAGAAGGGGATAAGTTTAGTTGGATCTAAATGCATTCAAATGCACAAATTTTCTCACTCAGTAAGAATGTTATTTTCGATAGAACCCTGTCAGGACAAAGCAGGGATAATGGTTACAAGTGGATGTATAAAATCCCATAAACAAATTTTGGCCTCATTTGTACATTATGTATGCCAAAAACCTAAATTATCACATTGTAACAATGGTATTTTCAGCCTCTTGATGCAACTGCAGTCTACAGTCTGTTATAAGTCATTGAAACAACCGTCTCTCTCTCCCTTCCCCTCCCCCCCTTTCCTAGTTCATTGCTGGATAGCACAGTCCCTTGGTTTGTTTTCCGCAGAAAGTTAATATTTAAGTATCAGTTTAACTAGAGAAAATACTTTTTTTCAGGGTCACGGATCCTTACATTAACAGACACACCCGAGGACCAGACGTACAAACTCAAGTATCCTTTAACACTAAGAACTTGACAGGGAAAGAAAGGTCCAATTTATTCCTCGGATTTCAGTCACATTTCAGTTGTGTTGAATATAATTCACGTCCCAGAAAACTCGCTGAAATTGCCTTAAATAAGTGCAATTCCCACACAAATAGCAAAATGTATAACAAGCATTGTTGAAAGAGTCTGCGCTACAATCCAAAGGATATGAGGATCCAGGTGGCTCAACTCCCCCTGGATGGGATGCTAGTCCACCACAGGTTACCCCTCAGTATTTTGTCACCAGTACCCATTTATACTCCAGGGTGGAGAGAGGCACTGTGAGAGTAAAGTGTCTTGCCAAGAACACAACACAATGATCCCGGCCAGAGCTCGAACCCAAAGTCCAACATGTTAACCATTAGGCCACCGTATCTCCCAAGAAGAATTTTTAAGCTGACCTTAACTGTTGTTCAGACTCAAAGGCATCTCGATTTGTTTCTCCATCTTGAAGGCCTCCCTGTGCGGTGGTTATGTTAACTTCGGTGTGTTTGGTTTGTACGGTGATAACGCTTTAGAGAAAGCACTGAAAACGTTCGTCGAACTTCTCTCTTCTATTCCTCACAGCAATTTATTGGTAAGTTGTGTACTGGGTTCTTGGCTTGGTCCTCTCAATAGTGTAAGACTCTTGTCTTGTTGTGTCGATTAGCGGGGTACCCAAGGTCAGGAAAAATGGGATAGCAATTATTTTCCTGGCCTTGAGTACACCAAGAAACAGGGACTCGTTTGTCTTACTTTATCTAACTTAAAGGAGCTACGTCACTGATGGTGCATCTTGAAAATATTGGCTAATCTCTTTCAAGTTTGTTGTTCGCAATCCGTCTTAATCTTCTCCATCCTCAACCATCCTTGTTCCTGTCTAGTCTAGTCTAGTCTAGTCTAGTCTAGTCTAGTCTAGTCTAGTCTAGTCTAGTCTAGTCTAGTCTAGTCTAGTCTAGTCTAGTCTAGTCTAGTCTAGTCTAGTCTAGTCTAGTTCTGCCAATCTCTCACGGAGTTAGGTGATCAATCCAATTTTCCTCTCTTTCAGGAATATCCAAAACTGAGTCAGTCATATTATGGGTTGCTGGAGATTCTGGCTCAGGATCACATGAATTTTCTAAGTAGTCTTGAACCTCAAGTAAGTAGTCCTGTATGGAGGGGTAGGGTGAGCCGTGAGAATGTAAGACAGAATGGATTGTACAGGGGATTAGCTTTAACTGAAGAAACTGTAGTGTTGCAGTGGCGAGCACGTGATTCGGCGTTGTATATGTGAGAATCTGACGTTTTGAGTGTTGGAGCACATCCGGGAAGTGAGGTTGCACTGTTTAATGCTTTACCTACATGTAGTCGTAATGCTGTTCATTTGGGGGAGTTCTTTGCAAATTATTTTCTTTTGAGACTTTATTATCATTTTTCATAGAACTGGAAATCCATTGTTTAAAAAAGAAAGTTATGCAGAAAACCCCTCCCCCCTTCAAGAAAAGAAAGAGATAAATATAAAATATATTGTTTGGTGGAAACATAACAAAGAAAAACGTCAGTATGTTATGAGGAACTCGAGGCCAGTAACTCCTTGTTCCACATTTTTGCAGCTTTGTGTACCCCTTTGGTGAAGGGATAGAACTATGAAGCAAACAACCATGTGCTAGATGGATATATAATTTATTTTCCTCTTATTTTATTTGAACAGGTATTTATGTATATATTATCCTCCATATTGGAGGGCCTCACAGCTTTAGGTAAGGCATTTTGTTTAATTGCATCGGTTGTTGTACACTGTATCATGTACATACCCCCTAGATCAGCCCTACCAGTGACCAGCTAGGGTCTAATTTATCCTCAAGCACTGCAGGTCATGGGAACCAAGGATAACTTCCCTCTAGACCGGAATTTGTGATTTTAGATAACTGTTAAGAGGACGAGAGTTGTTGAGAGTTCAAACTCTCTCTCTCGTTTGGCCAGAAACTCTCTTGCACTCTCAGTGACTCTCATGCGCTCTCTACAATTTAAACCTGCTCAAATTTTTCTTGAGAGTAGGTGGTGATAGTCGATGAGAGTTGAAGAACTCTCAGCAACTCTCAACAACTCTCATGTTCGTTTGGCCTGGGCTTTAATGCTAATCCATTCTCTATATTAACTCTTTCACTCCCAAGAGTGCTAAGTTCAAAACCGAGGAAACAATCTTGAATTTCATTTTGACAAAACAAACAGCACCACTTGAATGTACTGCTCAATAGCTTTCATTTGAATG